TATAAGGGGGAGTGTCTCAAAACGAAACAAACAATATCAAAGAAGGGTGTAATGTCCAGAAATCAGCATGAAGACCACGACTATTTATGACACAACAATGGGGAGAGTTTTAACAAATAAAAACTGTATTACATAACAGTTACTGTACCTGCCATAGAGCTGGTGTGCCTGATGCATCCCACTGAGCATGCCTGGTACTCCCACCAGCAGGCCGGGCTAAGATGCAACAGCAAGAATAGGGTGCACACATTAACCACAGTACCAAACAATAACAAAAAGACTCAACATCTCACAGTTCACACTCCAAAAAAATGCCTTACATATTGATCAAGGTTCGTATGCAGCATCTCCTCGTGGATGGCAGATGGTGCCGTCTCTCTGAAGTCGATGACCCTCGTCTCATTCTTACGGATGTCATGCACCAACATAACTCCACCACTAAATGTCAACAGAGCACAAAGATCTTTGTATTGAACCATGTTTAGGAACCTCAGTGGTGGTCCTGTTTAGAGGTGTTTTTATCACTCACCCTCCAATACCAGATGTGTGAGGGTGGACGATTCCCAAACAGAGGGCAGCAGTGATGGCAGCGTCAACACTGGACCCCTGTTTCTCAAGGACATCAAAGCCAAGAGATGTACACTGGGCCACGTCTGTCACCACAGCTCCTTGGTTAAACACCTTGCAACAAACAGGAGAGCGAAGCAGGAAAGCAGAAAACAGATTGTTAATTTACCTTCGAACTGACTTGTGTGGAATAATCCCATAATCACCTGTAATTATTTGCAACAATATTGCAACATGGTTACAAAAGTGCAACTGCAACACACACGCTCCTACCTGTGGGTCTCCAAAGTAGATCTGCATGATGAGAGCTACAGTGACTCCCGTGGCAAAGGTGAGACAAGCTGTGATGATGACTGTCAGTCCATCTCGCTGGCAGGCACAGTCTTCTGTAAAGGGGTCTACGGTGGTCTCCCGCAGGGATGCGAGATCGTGGCTAGCCAGGTCCGAAGCCGAGGAGGGGAGACGCTGTAGGCGAGCCGACTTCAGAAACAGATCTGGGTCTGGAACAAACAACACAAGCCAAAACCCTTAGACTGAACAAGAAACAGCAGGACACATTTTTGATATGTCCCTTACGTTCTTTTTCTGTCAAAACAAATTCCATTCAAAAATGTGTCAATTTAAAGGGTCCATTCCTACTTTAACAGAAAAACCCAACAAATTCTAAACATTTCTGGTTCAAGCTTCTCAAATGTGAGGATTTTCTGTCATATATGGCAGTAAATTCAACATATTGGGTTCTGGACTGTTAGTCCACTTAATTAATAATACAAATAATTATTAGTTGCAGCCCTAGTTCAAATTCACCCTTGAATGACTTGCAACAATGAATAGTGAAAACTGCTCCTGGAGATTAGACAATGCTGCTCCATGAATCCACATCCAGAAACCTTAAGACTAATAGTAAATGATGTGTCTGCCCTGGCTGACTCACCTGTATCCTGCTCACTCAGGACGTTGTCGTCATCTTTGCGAGATTTTAGGGTGTTTTCCCCGGACAGCATGTCGTCCTCTGGCAGCCTGGGGAAGCTGGTGATGCTCATGTAGTCCACCGGAGAGTAGGCACTCCCCAAGGTCGTCTCTGGATTGGCATCTTTATCCGCCACGCACCCGGTTGGGTACCCAGCTACAATTTCAGGAGCAGGGCTGTGCATGGCTACTGTTGATCCCGCAGTCACACACTTAACTTATCTTTATCCTTAGGGTGTTCAGGGAGTTAGGCCAGGATATTCATATCCCCAGTCACATCTGGTAATCAGTCACTGACATCCAGATGAAAAATCACTGTAATATACCTTTATGGACCACTAGTGTTGCTGTAGTGCTGAATAATGACTTCCCACTTCATGGAATCTTTAATATTTCATTATATCAACAATTCTCCTGCTGGGATTTGTAGTTTTTACCATCAGCTGCAGTTTTTCTTAGAAAATATTTCTGATAGGCCAAGACACGGGTGTGTAACTCCGATGATGATGCATTTTTTTTAAAATTTCCTCCAGGCATGTAGGCTGCCACCTGCAGAAGAGAACAAAACATGCAGGTCAACTAGTTTTAGACAAGGAATTACGTTAGAGAAAGCATAGGCTATAATCGCATTGAAGTCGCATGCTCATTACACAAGGTAAACAGTCTCCCGCAGATATTGACGTGCGACAGTATGTCTGCCTCCGTCTGTCTATGGCGCAGGAAGGCGGTGAGCTGAATTAATATCCAGTTACATGTTTTAAAACAGCATTATTAGCGTGTATAAAGCGCGTGCACGGAGCCAACCCTCTTCCTGCGTTTGTTCCCCCCGCGCTGTCACACGCCAGCTAAACGCATCTTTCTGCTAATGGTGCCCATTTAATTGGGAGCGAGGAAAGCGTTACTCACCCGGGGAGATAAAACAATGCGTGTAGTCAAATGAAAATCATCCTCGGCGGTGTTGTTTTGAGGCGGCTTTGAACAGGTGAGGTGAGGTAAGTGTTGCTCTCCGTCATCACCGAAAGCACCACAAGAGCTCCTGAATCACGACACCACACGGCAGCGGAAGTTGGTTTCACGTTACAGCTCCGGACAACCGGTAAGACTTGTCAGAGAAACGAGCTTGCTGGAATTCAAGATCGTATTTCTAAGAATACGCCTGTGGCTGTAACCTGAAGACCAAAGCGGGGAACTGGAGATATTTTGATTTATTTCAATAAATTACAACTAAATGATGTTAAATTACACACATTTATAAAGGTAATTGAGCTGATGGCCGGGTTGGGTTTAGCGATGCCAACATCAGACTTACTTCACAGTAGATGGCGTCAGGGCCAAGATCCACTAAATCTCATCTCTACAGCTGATAGACCAAAATCATCCGTCACAGCACAGGTGCTTCAAGCCATTTCCCAGCAAATATTAAGGCAATAGTCACAATAGTCAATGATAAAATTACCCCAAGGACTAGGTCTCCCTGGTGTGAAGAGGACAGACAGGTTATAGCAGGTCTCTGAATAGTATAACTGCTCCAATTACAAATCTCTTGTCCCTCCCATGAAGCCTAATTCTTTTCTTGGTCCTCCACCTATCCTCAGAGTATCAACTGACCGTGTTCAATGATCCCTCAACAGGAACAATTGTTTTGACTTTGACACAAGTTGGACCACTCTGCTGCAATAAATAGATGTTATTCTTATTCTGTATTGGGCTCGATTACTCCTAATAACCCTACTGTACATAAACATCTTAAATGTCTTCTCATAGTTTTTTTTTTTTTTAAATGTTTTAATTCACTTTAAGTCCTCGTTATGTATAATAGCACCCCGCCCATCTTCAGTCCCAATAGCCTACTGTATTTACACTCCGTTACCACGCCCGTCTGTTGACCTTCTCCATTTTTTTTGCATACTGTAAACTTCCGCCTTCATTCATCATCTGCAGTGTCGACAGTGGTGGAATTTACGTGTAGTCAAATAAAAGTAAGTGCGGTACTTGTAGTTTATTTGAGTATTTTTTATTTTATGGCACTTTATTCTTCATCTCCACTCTGTCTTATTTTATATTTTATTTGACCTAATATTGTACTTACTTTGACAAGGTATAAAAAATATGATGCTTTGTTTAAGATTTAACTACCCAAATGTATGTAAACTAGTTCAAATGAGCTCCCTCTTGATCAGCTGGCATTAAAATGCTGCTTTCATGTTAATACATCAGTAATAATGATCAAATAAACTCAGGTCCTTTGGAG